AGTATATAACAGCAGGTATGATCTTGTCAAATACGTACAATAGATTCAAAAAGAATGTTTTCGATTTAGATACGATATTACAAAAATATTGTTGGCTTTAATGGTTATGTATTATGCCATAATTTCATAAATTTTGATAAAACTCTGTCGATATGCAAATTTAATGATTTTGTCTTAATGTTTTCGGTTACAATTTTAGACATTATAAACAATGCACTTATAATTGACCGCATTAAATTCAATTGCCACTACCGAATGCATATTAATGAGTCTGAGAAATTATTGTCTTGTGTACTTCCATTTGATATTCGTTATAGGTACCACTACCACGGTCACTGCACACGGTAAATGACTTTTTTACAACAATTTACAATCATAAAGGTTTATAAACGACAGCAGCTATAATTTATTTCCTATACCGACAAAAGCAGCAAATGTTTTTTTTTTACATAGTCTAGATTTTTCAAATTAATTCGCTACAAGAAGACGTCATCATGCACAATTATCACACAAATTTATCTAAGATATGGTGAAAGTCCACTAATGATAGTGACAGCTTAACATTCACTAAATTGTTTTTTAACTAACACTACTTTTGAAAAATAAAACAATAAAAGCAAAAACGGTACTTCACAGTTATACTAATGTGCTCCATAAAAGTACGGCAAGTTAACGGAAAATATGTGGATGGTAGATACAACTGGTTCCATTAAGGAACCTGATTTTTAAATCTTTCGGTCAAATATCGGTGCATTTGAAGTTTACTGTAAGGTTAGTTTATTTATTTTGTTTAAAAAAATGTGCTTACTTTCACTGGAAGGAAATAGGCAACACTATAAAAAGATTTTATTTTTTAGTATACATGAGTCAGTGTAAGATATTTCCTCATTTACTCAATAAATATAATAAATACCTAAACTTAAACTTGATGATACTTGCTAATAATTTTATTTAGCAATTCGCTGGCAGCATCTGACTTGTTGGTGGAACCATATCGCTTGGGTTTGTTACCGCCAACGTAGCCCTCTGCGTAAATAGGAACTAGGGCCTGATCTGGAGCCACACCTGCAATGGCAGTACCTACAGGGCGAGCTATAGCTAATCCTCCTGGTCCTACGACAGCAGTTGCAATGGGTTTGCTTGCGGCGACGCCACCTTCACCTAAAAAAAATGTTCATACAAAAATTTAACAAGTGTATTTTTTACCAGCAACTGCAAGCCCAACTGGTTTAGCTTCAGCCACAGAAGCATCGTCTGGTGGCAAACCGATCGCGATTCCATCATTGTCATTGTCTTCATCTTCGCCCTCTTCTTCCTCCTCTTCTTCTTTAGGTTTTTCGTTCTTGTTCTTCTCTTCTTCCTTTTTCCGTCTTTCCTCTTCTTCGGCCTTATTTTGTTCCTCCTTTTTCTTCTCTTCTTCCTTCCTCCTCTCCTCCTCCTCCTCTTTCTTCCGTTCTTCTTCCTTTTTCTTTTCTTCTTCTTCCTTCTTCTTCTTATCTTTATCTTTTTTATTAGATTTCTTACGTTCGAACCATTCATTTACACCTTCGCGGTTTTCAAAACTAAACTTATCTTCTTGTTCTTGTAACTGGGCTAGATTTTTGGCAGATGAGTTCAGTTCGTCCATGTTCTGTTGATAGAGACTTTCCTCATCAGTGTTTAATTTTCCATTCTTCTTTGCAATTTCTTGCAATTTGATTATATTTATAGCCGTGCGATGAATTTTTCGAATGTTCGAGCCAAAGTCTAGATCTTGTTTAGACGGAAGCGGTGGGTTTTCTAATTCCGCCGTATTAATCACTTCCTCCGTTGGTGTTGGTGTATTTACAGGTGTTTGTATGATGTGAGTTATAACGGTACCATCCGGCCTTTCAATTATTTGCAGCGATTGTCCTTTTCCCCCGCCATAGAAGGGGATTATTGTTACTTTAGACTGAACGTCATCTATAAAACTACAAAAAGTGTGTTATTTCAATTCCGAGAAAAAGATAATGTCATAAAAATACAGTTGTTGTTCTCAATTTGAATGATTAAGAAATGTTGTCATAATAACGTATTCACTGTACTTGCTGGATGAAAGACGTTAACTAGGTAACAAATATATGCTTATTGAATCGTAAAATGTTGTACGCTCGAAAGGAATTCGCTTATTGTTTTGATGTTCTTGAGGTGGTTGCTTGAACTAAAGGACATTCGCTTTCCGGTACGCACGCTTCAAAATTTATACAGAAATGTGCTAAATAAGAATTCTTTAGTTGCGAGATTATGCAATTTTGTCTATGCGTGATGGAAATGTGTAAATAAATGGGTAGATAGGTAACGATTTAATACATTCACAGCAGATAGTTAGATTTTTGTGGGAAGATTGTAAAGACTTAATTCAAAATGAGATGTAGTAGAGATTGTAAATTTTATTTCATAAAGTTTGTACAATATTTTACATCTTTTAACAGTTAGATAAGTTAAAACAAGTTTCTTTTCGTATACTCTAATATATGTTTGTACTTTTTATGTTGATTTTGAAAATATAGTCAGTTTTTTGCTGTGTTAGAATTTTGAGAAACTATGTGTAATAGTTTTCTTCTGAAATATACAAATATTGAAGGAAATTGTATGTGTAAATGAGATTCTTTCTATTTTCTACCCTTAAACCACGCCTTTTTTTCCTTTTACATCATCAATCATCATATTTAACAGACTTTGAGATAGGCGATCAAGTGGTTTTTAAGAAGGTATAGACTGATGATTTAAATTAAATTGAGTTTGTAATAATCTAGTGTTTTGTATATTGACGATTCTCCTATAAGTGGATAAATAATCCCAAAAGTTTTTGTTAGGTACCTTAATAATTCCACAGCTTAAATGAGGTTACATTTACATAGAAAAACCTCGTTTAAAGTTAGAACTGAAAATTAGAATAACTTTTACATTAATAAAATTTGCCATACTTTTCGTGCTGTTCCTCTAAGAAGTCAATTCTTGAACCGTTCAAGGGTGGGGCGGAATTTTAACATTTAAAGAAAAATCATGCATTTGCCAACAAAAAATGTCTCAGTGTTTCTTTAGTTAAGGAGGTCTTTATTTTGCAATAATACCGAAAGAGCAATAAAGAACACAATCAAACACCGCTACGAATTTTTGAAAATTTGTCTTTGATCGTTGCATGTTCAGCTCAAACTTTCAAATTGACTGTAACTTGACAGGACGAAAATTCTATCAAAGACAAATCTTCAAAAATCCATGGCTGCTTCTGATCGTGTTTTTTTTGCTCTTTCGGTATTAACATGTTTGTTTTAGGCCATGAAATTGAAGAAGAATGGTAGCTTTTTTCGATACTTAGAAATGGGTTATAATTCTATTTAAAATTTGTAACAGTTACAACTTGAATGCAAGAAGAATTGTTGTTTCATTTGTGAGTAGATCAGAGAGCTAGAGATGATCACTGTGTTGTTAAACAATGACTACAAAGAGAGCAGGATACTCCTGGGCAAAAGAACATAAATCACTTGACAGCAATTGAACGTGACAAAATTTTGTTACCACCTTGCATATAAAATTGGGTTCGATGAAAAATTTCATCAAAACCACGAACAAAGAAAGACGTGAATTCCACTAATATGAAAAAAATCCAATTTAGCTAATGAAGAAGTTAAAATCAAAGTCTTAAGATTACAAAGAAATCATTTTAAGCTTCTTGGGAGTGATCGAACACTGCATTGTAACATGAATCTTAAAATAAATTTCTTAGATCCCACGTGAATTTTTTTCCTCCAATGTTAGCGAAAACCTGTACCAAGAGAAGTGGAACAACGAAATGTTTGCCAATTACTAATGAAGTAATGACTAATGCACTGATATCGGAAAGTTCCACAATCCAATACAAACGGAAAGTGAGGAGAAAAACATTCACACTGTTATGCAATAGTTTACTTTTTAGTGTTATTATTATCGCATTTATTCCTTTTTTTCCAAATCTTGGTGTGCTATAACTAATTAATAATAACAAAAAACGATTATTTTTCTTTAAGGGTTTTGGTTATGACGAGTTATTAATTTACTCAACACTTGGACTACTGTTTACAAACATACTGTACAGTTTTTAAGATATTAACTACACATTTGACTATCATTTAGAATGGTTTCTATAATTATAGGAACTAATAAAAATATGTACAAAATGTGACTAGATTAAAGTTGGTACAACTTTAACTCTCCATTAAATCTTCGTAACTAATTTCCAAATCGCTTTGAGCATGGGCTATTCCACCAGGTCCAACTACAGCCACAGCCTCTGGTTCGAATAAGATGTCAACGTTTGTTCCTTGCCTCAGAATAGCTCTGGATAAAGGTGTGGAAATTGCTTTACCCTCAATTCCGGCAACGGCTTTAGCCACTGGTTTCAAGATTAAAGTGGTAATTTTTTCATTTGTACTTGGGTTATCATTTCGAAAACTAATAATTTTATCCCTGTCAACTGTGTTTCTGTTTTTTAAATAATGGAACAAAGGATGAGCTCTATAAGGAGCCAATGATTCGTTTTGGTTTGTTAACTTTTGTCTCTCTTTGAGCAATTTGGCAACCGAAATTTCTTCCTTAGGTGATACTCTAACTGCTTCGTTTCTCTTTGCTGATAAATTGCTTTGGTTAATAATTGGTACATTAGTTTGCAGGTTTTGCACGTTAAAAGCATTTGGAAAAGCAGTTTGGGGATATGCAGAATACTGTGATGAATAAGTCGGTTGAGGCGACCATCGTGGGTAACGAAGTCCATTAGGAAATGTTATGAATCTGAAGAAGAAAAGGAAAATTAGTAACGGCAAATCTACATAAACTACATAATAGGAGTTTTAAATGAGAATGTAATTTTGTTAAATTGTTAGAATGAATAATGAAGAATGAATAAGTACATGTACATAATGTTATGATGGTAGTACCTAAGGTACTACGATGTGGACTACGAATGTAACTTTCTTTGCTAGATGCAGTGACTATAAATTATTAATTAACTAACTTATTTGGTATATCTATTTTATTAACAACGTTTTCGATACAAATATTACACGGTAATACCTAAATCTATTCTAAAAGTACTGACATAACTTAGTAACTTACTCTAATTTGGCACGACCACACTCTTACTTGTGTGTAAAATGTGTTGTCTAAGCACTATTTACAATAATGTAATGAGATTAAATAGTGAAAATATGTACGATATGGCAATGACAAAATCACTAAAAAAACCTGTCACAAAACTTGACCACTATCCCTTATTATAATAAATTACTGGTCCCACAGCTACTATTTTTCCTAGTCGTGGTGGTAAATGACCATCCCCTCTTGTTTTGTTTCTATTATGATCCAGAATCACTTGAGACAAGTTGATATTGGGTTCTACAGCTACCACTTTTGTGCCAGATCCAGCAATAGCCAAGCTATCTGGATGAGTATAAGCAAATCCGTTAGGTCCTACTATAGCCGTACCACCACTTCCTGCTGTCGCAATACCTCCAGGTCCCGCAATGGCCACACCTCCCTTTCTTACTTTGATCTTGTGGACAAAAATCCCACTTCCTGTGTTATCTTTACTGACTAATTTTTTGGTTCCGTGGTGAGACACGTGAATATCTTCAGCTTTATCTTCTTCCTCGTTACTGACTTCGTCGTCGAAAAGAATTTGATCTCTGATTGGCGGTGACTGTCGCGAGGTATCATTAAGAGGTTGTTCAGTTTTCGTTATTTCGAGGGTTTCAATTACAGGGTTTTTCAATAATGCCGCTGCTTGAGGCGTATTTAAGAATACAGTTTGTGTAGTTTCATGGTTTTGTTTAGATTGTCGGAGGTTTAAGTTTAGTTGTACTGGATCATTCCTGTTGTCGGTAATTTGCAAGTCTTCAATATCAATGACAGTTGTTAAATTTGAATCATTATCATTTGTTACTGTTATCTCCGCACCATTACCATTGTTAACAAGACTGTAAGTGAGTTTTTTATCTGGTACTTGGTTTGCTCTCGACGAACCTATATTTTCGTTGGTTCTCTCTTGTGGGGTTGTTCCAAGTAAGTCTTTGTTTTGTAGTTCTTTCTTACATGAATCTCCTGGGGCTGCTTGTGGTCCATATTCGACCATGGATGTAAAAGCGTTCATGAGCTGTATGAATGGATCTTTAAAAACAATGGGAAAATACTGTGCAAGAGGCCACTGCAACTGCTGTTTTCCAGGTCTATAAATTTGTTGAGACGTATACGGACCGTACACATTAATATTATCAGACTGCTGAGGCTGCTGATAAATGTATGGGGTAAATAGTGGTTGAGAGTATGGGTTGTAAGGCATTTCAGGTGCATAACGTGAATTTTCCACAATATTTTTAATATTGTCAACAGTCTGCTTTTCCAGGTCACCTTTCGTCATTACATTGTAATTTGGTTTTTGAACAACCTCTGGCATTCTGTGCATCCCATAAAGATACTGTTGAACGTTTTGTTGCAACGGTGAAAACATATTCCCTTGGAAATATCCAGTATTAGGAACTATCATCGTTTGATGGTGCGTGATTTTTCTTTTAATATAATGACCAGGAGGAACATCGTCAGCTTCATTATTGTCGTTTGGGGTCACATCTTCTGGGATTTTAAGTTCTGCATTGCCATGTTTTCCCTCTATGTAGTCCAATATAGGATTGGTGAACGGATCTCTTGGAAATTTGAAGTCTGTGGATTCTCGAGAGCCGGCATTTTCTTGAGATCTGAGGTAACTAAAAGGGAAATGTTGATACGGTTTTGGTTTCTTCTTTGTGAGACCCTGCTTTTCGTTGACTAGGGCTATTTTTTCTAAGATTTGTTTGGTACTCTCTTCTAGCTGTTTTTCGGTGAGTTTGGTCGTTTTCGAATCTTGAAATAATTGCTTGGATTCGGGATAAATTTCGACGACATGCTGTTTTTCAATCCTACAAATAACAGTAATTAATAAAACGTTGTAAGAAAAATAGGTATGAAGATAAAAAGTAAATATAGCATTCTGTTAATAATAAATTATTATTAATTGAAATGAACATTAGCAAACTTACCCCAGTTATAGCAAAAGATAACCCGGAATTCAGTTCTTCTAAAACTACACTTTACCACACTACATTTGAATTTGAAGTTCCCGGGAAGTTATATTACAACAGTACTTTATCATTACTACCGCTACAGAGAATCATATAAATCAACATACAGTGAAGTTTGTCAGTCACAGTATATTAGTAATTAGGTACAAGAACATTCATTGTAAACTAACAAGCATAAAAACATTAAATACTTTATGACTTACTCCACTGCTGGTGATTCTTGAGGTCTACAGTAAACCACAGCCAATGTTGATATCTAAAACAAAGAACTCATTATTATTTTCATAAAAATATATGAAACATTTTCAAAAGGTTGCTAAGTACAAGTTTTTTCAGCTAAATCAAATCAATATATGTATGTTACTTAAGTTAAGTATTAATAATTCCAGGTAAATATGTGTCAATATAATGGTGGCGATTTCGAAATAACCCTTAAAAACTTCATCATTTTTGTTGTATTTCAAGCCCGTAAAAAGTGACACTTTTTTTCAGGGGGTAAATTTTCGTACACGAAAAAATTTTAAGTAATCATTAAACTAAAACTACAAAAAATGACTATCTTATAATATTTTCAAGCTTACGGCGAGGAACTATGAAAAAAAAAATAGTATGAACCTTAAAAAATTTTGTCTCAAAAAAACTTATTTAACGAAAATCTTTGAAACATACGTTACAAAATTTGTTAATTTTTTTAATTGTTAATAAAATAATAAATCTTCAAATATGAACATTTTTCTAAATGTTAGCGAGAATATTTTAGAAGCAATTAGCTAGAAGATCATATACTGATTTGCAATAATAAATCTATTAAATTAAAATAACATGTTAAAAAAGTGTTATGTTTAGGGGTTAAGGTTTAGAAATACACAGGTTAACTTGTTCGAGTATGTTAAATTCCTCAAAAGCTAGTTGCTATGTATGAAACAAATGAAATAATAACGAATTTATGTACTGCCCATATTTACTTTATAAAATAATATGTTTTTATATGTATGATTTATTAATCCACCTATTTTTTTTTACATTGAATGACCACAACACCACCAACACGGTAAAAAGGTGTTCAAAATTTTTCGTTTACTCCCTCCACATAATTGATGACATCATTTCAACAGTTTTTTAGATAAAAGCTGCCTAAAATATGTAAAATATAATGCTTCTACACTTCTGGATTTATTGTATAGATAAAATTAAAAACTAAAACTACACAGTACTACTGTTATATTGTTATGTACTATATTATACTGTATGTACAAAACATGATATATTTGTCTTTTCTAAAATTGAATGACGTCACCATAAAATTTTATTACAAGACTCATTTTAAACATACGCACAGTATGCTTCGTACCTGAAGTCTAATAATCCAAATTGTACTAGTTATAAAGTAGAATAAAATTTTATACTTTATCGGAGAAACTGGATTTCTTTGATTGTGCTTGAAGGGCAGGGATAGTTCTGCCCACATAACCTTATACCAAGTTTTTCAACACAGAGTACCAAAACTTGTAATAAGTTACCTAAAAAAATGTTGGAGTAATTTTTTCCAAAAGTATACATTTTTCCATGATAATAGCAAATAAATTAAATATGCTAGCCCTGTTACAACTGATTTTCAAACTTCAAAATTTTGTAATGTAAACTGATGTAATTATGGAGATCAAATCTTGTGTCATTATTAACAAAAAAGTACGTCTTTACCTACTGCGTAACCTTGAATCTCGGAAATTAAAAACTGAGAAAAAAAACCGCGTAAATCCAAAATTCTCATTTTTCAAATTTTAAGAAAGTAAATGACGGCAATTTTCTATATGTTCTACTATTAAACGATCTTGTATTATTTCGAAGAGGGTGAAATATTTCAACTTCCTCGATAATTCTAAAGCTGATAAAAATTTAAAAGAAACAATCATAAGAATCTGATTATAACAAAATCGTTCACTTTTTCGAAATATTATTAATTCAACGTTATCGTAGTAGTGTTTATTAGGGAAGATAATACTACATTTAAGTGAGCAATAAAAGTTACTGCATTGTTTAAAAATGTTTCTGCTTCAGAGACAATAAAACAAGTTTAGTAATAAAAAATAATTACTCTAGGTTATGTTGACAGTTTTGTTCCTTTATGTTTACAAGAATTTTTTTTCAATTTTATTTTTTAAGGATTTTTTCAAAAATTAAAAGGCCACTTTTCAATTAGAAAAAATTGACAAAGTAGAACACATTCGAGCGTTCTTTATACTAATCCGATAATATAAGAACAGGTGCAACTGGATGCACTACAGAAAGGACAAGAAATCTACATGCAAATATTCCAAATAAATATAATCTACATAAAATACAGTTGGTCCATGACCTCACCGAGGAAGTTTCCAAGAGTTTGACTTTTGTTTAGGACATTGTCAAGTTGTTCAAGGTCATCATTTCAAATATTTAGTGTAATTTAATTAGATTATCAAATTTTTTTGTTAAATAATTTTTCGCTTCTGCATTTTAATTTATTGGCCATAAAAATTCCTGTTTTTTAATTCTTTGTAAGATATAGTCTGTGTTAAAATTACGTGTGTAAAAGTGTAAAAAATAGTTTCTCTAAAAATGTATTTTTTTTTATTTTTATACTTCTGTACATAATGTGTAGAAACGAAATTTTGATGTATTTTTCAGAAATTGCTTGTAGAATGTGGCCTATTTACAAACTAAATCCATATTTTTTGCTTTTGGCAGATTCTATATAGAACACATTTCGAGGACATACTGTATATATTTAATTTATTATGATAATCTGAATTCTCATGGAAGCTAAAAGATCAAATTAATTAAATGCAAAGTATGCATTTAATCAGAATTGTATAGCTTGTAAATAATTAATTAGCATGCAGTTAGTTACTGAAAAAAAGCGAGAATAGTAATTTCTCCCAAGTAAATAAAGTGTTATTTATAAAAACCAGCAACTGCACAAACATAACAGTTCATTAAAATGTTTCTCCGTTTACTAGTTTTTTTTTGTCAATGTTACTGATTTAGAAAATTAGTGTACAAGGTAAAAATAAATAAGCAAGTGGAATGAAACCGTGATCCGAGAAAATAAAAAATTATGAGGTATCACTACCATGAGGTATCACTGAAGTACAGTAAAATATACAAAAAAGAACTGTAACGGTAATTGAGATGCCTGCATAACATAAGAACTGTATATGTAATTACAATACAACACATGTTAAATTATCATGTAATTTTAGCTGTAATGACGTAATAGTGTAGGTGAAGAGTTCATCAATCGCAAAATTATGTAGTAGATCATATCTACAATAACCGATTAGTAATCATATCACAAAAAGCCATATTCTAGTAAACAAATCAGAGAAACATAAATCCATTATTGTAAGAAGTTGAAAATATATTCTGCGCTCGTAATGTCTTTTTAATTATTGTGTTAATAACTTAAAACAAAATAAGAATTCAGTGTAGTCACACTTCATTTCTTATAATAGCAACAATTATCACTTGGTGTAGTTCCGCTACTCGATAATTTTCCAGTAAAAAAATACTTACAAGAAAAATCCAGTGGGTCATTTCGAAAACGGTTATTACACTACATAGACATTTGTCGAACTGTCCTCTGAATATTTACTTGCAGCCTTTTTAAAAGTAACGGAAGATATTATTGGGACCACGTATACACTAACTGCCAATTGAAACGAAGAGACGACATCAAAAGTTACTTCTTCAGTGTATAGAAGGGGCAGGTAACGTTATTTGACGTAAAGGTGTCGTCTTCAGACACTTTGAGTGTTGGGGGAGGTTAGTATTTTTAAGTGGATGATTATTTATTACCTGGTGATGTTCTGACAATATGAAGATTTATGACATGCATTCATATGCATGTCATAAATCTTATCTATTTAGGAATAAATTTAAATTCTCCGCTACTTACTTATTTGGAAGTGCAGATTTATGACATTTTTGTCTGAAATTATAAAACGGTTATTATGTTCACTAATGTTTTAATAATTTATGTATTTATTTATGGATGTAAGAACTGTATCGCATGAACTAAAGATTCAGTTATTATTACATCATATATTACCAGTCTTCATCGGTAAAATCTGTTTCACCAAGTGCAAAAAACTGGTTCTTGAAGAATAATCGCTAGATCTCGCCTTTACGTGACTGTCATGGCCCGTTATTTTTAATATAGTAAACAATAAAATTCAGAGTAAATTTCTTTACTTCGGCTTACCGCGAAACAAGTTCTGTAGTACAATGCAATACATAATGGTAACTTGGTAACTGTACCAATGTTTTTTCACATTGAAAAGAAGATTGTTAAGTATCATCACCTCAATTTTATTTAAATTACAGTGATCAATCTTTTTATACGTTGGAACTTGCAATACAACAGAAAATTTAGTTTATTTTTATGTTTTGAATTGATAATAATTTACTGATGTCAGCGTTAGCGGTATATAAATTCTGTACATGATCTGCATACTTTTCTGCATTTTTGTGGTCTAAGTTTTTTTAAGAATAATTAAACTGATCCAAATAAAAAAATTAAGATTAAGATATAAATAAAATTAGGAGAAAATAATAAAAAAAATGCCCAAAGTTTCTTAGAAAAATGATAAAATTAGATTTTGGGAATTTTATAATTTTACTTTTTCAACAACCCTAAAAGTTAAAAACAATTGTGTGGACTGACTACAGCTAAAGAAGTATGCTGTGCGCATATGTCAAGTGAGCTTTTCATAATAAAATTTAGTCAGAATGTCATAAAATTTTAGCAAGGATACACATATCAATTTGGATAAGGATAGTGTAATACTAAGAATAACACTACTGCTTTTGCAAAATTTCAGGAAAATGGAGTAAGTCATTTCTGATTTTATCAATAAAATAAAATGTTTGATTAATTAATTTTTTTAAATCACCATATACAGCCATTTTTAAAAACATGAATATAATGATAAACTACAAATATAGATTTATTGCTATGAAATTTTGATATATCTACAGGGTGTTACTTTTATTTGAAACAACCCCTGTAACTTTTTTATTCTTAAATATAAACGTGTAGTTTTTTGAGCAAATTTGTATTATTTCAAAAGATCTATGTGATGACAACCTCACATTTTTATTATCACTTATGTAGAAGCGTAAATGACGTTAACTTTATTTTTTTAACGGAACACTAGATATATTTTGTCATAAAAGGAAATATTGATTTTTTGTAAAAAATCAAAAGCAACCAATATTCTAAAACCATACTTAAAAAGTTATTCAGTAATATAGATGAAAAATTCATATTTATTGATGACAATCTAGTATGTAGCTTGAAAAATTGACATTGTCATTTATTCACACAAGTGATTTTTTAAAATGATACAAATTTACTCGAAGAACTATAGTTTATTTTTAAAAATAAAAAAGTAACAGGGGTTGTATGAAATAAAAGAAACACAAGGTTTATATAACTTTTTTTTTGTAAAAATCTGATTATCCAAGGTAAAATAATCAAGGCGGATTCATAAACCACAAATATAAAATTATATTATTTTATAAAATTTAAATAGCATTTACTATGCAAAATTTTGAGATGAGGTCATTATATTAATAGTGGGGATTATTCTATTATACAAACAACAGTCCAGTAGTTTTGGATAAGACAGACAGACACACAGATAGACGACAGACAGTTGGAAACGAGAAACCTATTTTTTCATACTCTTTCATTGGTTATAAATCATCAAGAAAGGGTAGCCATTCGCTACATATACCCTATTACAATACTTCCCTAGTTTATGCTCAAGAAGTAAAAATAAGTAGGTACATAAAGATGATTAAGGCTGTAATTTATTTTGGAAATTATTATTATTTAAGTATCTGTTACAGTTTAACTATTTTTGATAAGTAACCAATTTGATTTTTTAGTATCGTATATATTTGGTCTTGAGTTTGATGCGTTTGGTTAAAGTGATGACGAACTGATAGTCCATAGAGATGTTTATTACAATTATTTTCACCAATCTATACTGGCAGAAGGCATACTGACTACTTTGGATCGTGATAATGACTTATTAAATAGGGAAGATACTATTATGTGATAAAAGTTGAACATTTACAACGGGGTCAAAAGTATGTAGCAATAACAATGGTAAATGTGGTCTATTATCATGTCACTGCTGTTGTCTGCATAATTTACTGATGTCTTATGTTTGTTGCATAACGACATTATAATGATTTTTTTACGTACAGAGATAACATATCCAAAATGGATTCGTTTAGAAGATGGAGACTTCGTTAATTCAAACTGTATTAAAATAATTAATTCTACACAAACGAATTTAATTTTTTAATATTTTTTATTGTAGTAGAATTGTTAATTCTTAGGGAGAGCCAGCAGCATTTAAAAATCGTAGAGGTGACCTTATGAAAGTAAATCAGTTAATATACACAGTGATCACTTCAAGTGAAATCTGGTGTGTACATTAAAAACAGGTTACGTCATCGTTGTGTCAAATTTTTATGACGTTTTAGTTTTGGTAATCGCTTGTAGATAATTTTAAAGACATTTTTTACAACAAATTTTGTTGTTTAGAATTTTATCTTTACTAATTTTTACAGTCACAAACGTGTAAAATATTTCATCTTATTAATTCTAAAGTGTGAATTAATTTAAATTAGAAACGTGTAGCCAATCTAAACCAAAATACCTAAATGTTGAAAATATAAGTCAGCTACGAAATGTTTAAAAGTTATTCTTGTCCAAATTGTACTCCGTTTTTACGACTGCACCCTATTGTGTACGAGTATGAGTTAAATTCCTTCACAATGGGTCCGTGCCACAAGTGATCCAGCGGTCATAAACCATCAACAAACCAACTGCTTACGGTAATTGTTATTGCAGTGCCATGAAAACGGAGTACGATTTGGACCACTATACCTCTGTGTTTCCTTTTAGCCTTCATATTGGTTAATAAGATCCCCAATTTAATAAATATTTGCTAAGGAAAAACAAAAAATAAATGTCAGTTGACTTATATTTATGCTCGATAAGGAAGTTTTGAATACGGTTTATCCGAAAAACAGCTACTTTCAGGTTTTTTCGATGTTTCATGGCTGTACGTGCACAAAAAACTAATCTCACGATTGTGTCTGCCTGTCGTCTGTCTGTGACGATTTTTTTAGATAGATAATCCCAAAACTACCGAATCGATTGTGTTAAATTTATATGTAAAACGCTACCCCAATTTTGTCTGATCATCCTCTCTCATTTTTTTAGTAAATGCCATTAAAATTTTATAAAATTACATACTCTTGTATTTCTGATTTATGAATCCGCCTTGAGTTTTTACTCTTTTGTACTAGTATCAGAGGCACGGAAATCGCATCTCTCTCACTCGAACCGCTAATGGGGCTTTGTTTTTTTTCTTCTTAAATTCCGAATCTTATTATTAATTTATAGAAGTTATGACAAAAAAATGAATTTTATGATTCTTAAAGAAGTGACATTTGTTGGACTGTACTTCAGGGGCGACGGAAGTTTTATCTAAATTTTTTAACTACATGATTTTTTGCAGCTGTTGTAATTTTCTGGAGTTAAACTAAGCTATAAATGACAAACATCAATCTTAGTTTTGTCCCGGGAACAGTTTTCTCTTTTGCGGGGATAATAACCTGTTTTAGTTGGTGTGCAAGCGAGAAGATTTTCGAATTATAGAATTCCATTATTTAAATTCCTAACTAAGTGATGAAGAGTTTCTTCTGATTATTATCAAAAGGTCTCAGAAACTAATAAGAAATTTGTTGTCAAGTTTAACGTTATTTATACAACTGGGTGTAAAAACTGATTTATTTTTACTTCTGGAGCATTAGTCAAGGAAGTATTTTAATAAGGTTCATCGGACGAATGGCTACTTTATTGTTTTCTCGACTTTTCATGGACCCTACAGCACGAAAACGTAGGTTCGCGTTTCCGTCTGTCTGTCGTGTGTGTTGGTTTCTATAGGAAAAACATTAATGATGTTATATTTTGGACAGTGTTGACGGAAATTTTCCAACGTATTTTTAAAATGTAGATCATGGAAGATCAACGCTTGCTGTCTTACAATATTGATTCTAAATTTTGCAGATTTTGGTTTCAATCACTTCCATACTTTTTATATTTAGCATATTTCAATATATATTCAACATTGTTTTACTGCTTAATTTGTTTGTATTGTTTACATACGGACTTTGTTATAAAAGAAATTTCGCTGATGTTATAATTGTGACAGAATATCAAAATTTACTTATCTACGCCATTTTGTCAAATTGTTTTACATCTATGTATATATATTACTTTAACGAGTGATTCCAGTGTATACCATGTTTAAAAGTTAATAAAGTCGCAGACAAAATTTAGCGACAACCTGGATTCTGCATTTAAGGACACAAGGGACAGATATAATGTGGAAATGAACATTCCATTTTTCAAAACATTTCGCAAATGTGAAAATTGTATTATTTTATTTTTCATTGCGTTAATAATAATAATAACTTATTATATGGTAATAATGCGCAAGTTGTTCTGGTCAGATAGATAGTACTGAATTTACATTTTGTTAGTTTTAAAGTTACAAATCAGCTCCAAAATTATTGCGAAACCAACATTACATTGGTGGTTGTTAACAGTGT